TAAAATTAAAAATAAACAATACACAAATGGTTTTGGTCATTTGGGTGTCCATGGTTTGTCCATTTGGACATGGGCTTTAGTGGTCTTGGGCACTTTTTGGACCACTGTCCAATATGGACCACCCATTACTGCCCAAAAACTGAAATGGTCTAAATGGTCAAGCCCAAATGGGCTCTGGGCGGCCCATTTGACAGCTCTACTTCCAGTGAGGTGGTTCATGAGATGGAGGAGAACGGTGGTAAAGTTGGAGTGGAGGTAGAGAGTAAGTCTAACAGTACTGCTGAGAATGTTAGTTTCCATGAAGACGAGTCTGGTCCAAAGACTGAAGAACTAGTTAAAGATTCTCTTCTTAATAAGAATGTTTCTTCCAACGCAACTGAGGAGAACACTAGTGATGATGTTGAGCAACAGGAGATAAAGAGTGAGGTAGATTTGAAGACTGGAGCAGAGGAGAACAGTAGTTCATCACGAGGTAACGAGTCTGATGAAACAAGAACTGAGAGTGTGGTGTTAAAGGGGTTCTCTGATTCTAATGGTCAATTGCCTGAGAGTAACCAGTCAGCTTCCAATGCAACTGAAACTACAGAGTCAGCTGAAAAGGCAGCTGGTTATCAAGAAACCAAAAACGAAGAAGACGAGCAGGAGAAGACACAATCTTCTCAACTCTCATCTGAAGTGGAAAGTACAAACAAAACAGAGTCCTCGTCCCAAGCTGAAAGTAAAGAGGAAGAACCCGAAACAAAGAAGAACGAACGCTCTTCATCCCGAGAAGAGAGTAAAGAGGAAGAGCCACCGAACAAGGAGAAAGAAGAAGCGTCTTCACAAGAGGAGAATGTAAACAAAGAAACTGATAACAAGGAGAAAGTCAAGTTTTTGTCTCAAGACGAAAGCAAAGAAGAAGAACCCGGAAAGAAAAAGGAAGAAGGCTCTTCATCTCAAGAGGAGAATAAAGAGAAAGAGCCAGCAGACAAGGAGAAAGAGCCTTCATCTCAAGATGTAAAGGAGAAAGTCGAGTCTTCATCCCAAGAGAAGAATGAAAACAAAGAAACTGAGAACAAGGAGAAAGTCGAGTCTTCATCCCAAGAGGAGAATGTGAGCAAAGAAGCCGAGAAAAGGGAGAAAGAAGATCCCTCAAAGTCTCAGCAAACGGAAAGCACTAACAGTGAGAAGAAAATTGAACAGGTGGAGTCTACTAATTCTTCAAAGACACAGGAGAAGAGTGACGAACATGAAACTGATGGAAACAAGAGTCAGTCTAGCAACGAGCAGAGCAAGTCAGGTTCTGTTGATGTAAAGGAAACAAAGAATGACTCATCAAAAACAGAGTCGTACACGGAGACGAACAACAAAAATGGTGAAACAGAGAAGCCCCAGAACGATCAAGAACATACCAACTCCACTTTGAAAACTAGTGTCAAGGATGCTCAAACTGATCTGAAAACTCATCCTGAGTCCGACAAGGTCGCTGCTGAGTGATCTTCTTACCAAAAGTTGTCTCTAATGTACTCTATACATAGTCTAAATACTTTTCATATCACGGGAACTAATACCCAAATTAGTAGTACTGAGTTTTGAAACCAATCAATATATAACATAAACCCCTTTCTCTAGTTCTGTTTCAATATCTTATTATATGATGAATAATCTCCATTTTATTGAGATTGAATCGCAAGAGATTCGAGGAACAACAACAAGTATTCGATAATAACAAGACAAAAGTGTTATTCTTATTTCCCAACAAGAGTGGTGTAGCAAATAGTAAACAACGTTAAAACAAAGACCATAAGCATTTAGCTTTTTCAAAGTGAACAAAGAAGAGGAAAAATTATTTGTAAAGAAGCAAGAAATCAGTGTCCTTCGTTGTGCTTCACCTCAAAGAGACCGTCTGGACCTGAGGACACCAAATACATAACAGAGTAAAATTTCAGATTAGCTACAGATACTCTAAGATTCAGCCTACAAAATGAAAAGGTTTTCAAGAGAAAACCATGACAAAAGAGACAGTCTTTGTCACATCTTAACAAGAAAAGATTGAAAAACAGGAAGAATAAATACAATACATACCCCAAGGAAACTCTTTGTTGCGGATGTGCATATAAGGATACGCCTGTAACAATGGACACAAACGGTTCAACAAAAGCTTGAGGAAATGTAGTTTAAGTAACAGCTTCATCATCGTTACTGGCTAATGATTATATTAGAATGCTCTCAAAAAAGTAATAAAGAGAAAGCCAATAAGAAGAGTGCTTACAGGAGGATCCTCGCCGTGATGATGACCCTTGGATAAAACATATGCGGCAAGAGCAGTGCAACTAACAATACCCAGATATGTTATCTTCTCCCACTTTGCAGCTTCATCTGTTAAAAATTAAAACAAAAAGTTTACGACTTTGGTCAGCAAATGGCTATGATGTACCAAAACAAACCACATCGATAGTATGAACTAGTGAAACAATGAAGATTCAGATCCGATAAAAATTGATACAAACCAAGTTGACCAATCGTTCGATCTAATCAATCATATTGAATCTCAATATCAATTCAGAACAGGGGAATCTACCAAATCGTTATTATTGAGTAAAAATCGAGACGAATCTAGAGAAGACAAAAATCTAGATCGTATTGAAATGGTAATGGAAAGAGAGAGAGAGAGAGAGGAGAAGATTTACAAGCATCGTCATGGCCGGCGGAAGATGAAAATCTTCGCTTTGGAGCAACGGATGTCCTCGGAGATGCGCTGATCGCTGCTCGTGAAAGTGCTGAACGTACAATCGCCGTCGCCATTTCTCCTCTGATTATCGTCTTTCCTATTCTCTTCTCTGAAAGTGGGTTGTGATAATAAATAGTGGTGACTCACTAAAATGAAACATTCTGCAAGCCCAATGGGCTTTATGTTATGTGGGCTTTTTCATCCCATTATGACTTGCATTTGCATATTGCGAGAGGGTAGTGCGTCACTGACTCACTGGCTGTATAACATGTCTTGCAGTCACCGGTGAAGCTGCACGACGTTGTCGGAAAAGATATTTCTGTCTTGTGAGTGGAAGAAAAAATATACCCAATCAATTTCACCAAGTCTAAAATATTTTGGTCTCATAAATACAGAGTATTTTGTAATGGTAATAATCTTAACAACAAAAACCAACTAGTTGTTGGTCTAGTAGTAAAAAAGTGTCTGAATAGACATTCTGCTACTCAGATTCAATTCTCAGTGAAAAGACTATTTATATTGTTTGGGTCGGCGAAGAGGTGAGTGAAACTACTCTTTTCATCAAAAGAAAGAAAGCTTAACAACAAAGTCCATAACAATTGATAAAATTGACTATACATTACAAGTCCATAAACTCAAGACCCATAGCTAGTTTCATGAACTAGTTTGACATAAGTGCCCAACGATCATATGTTTATCCTGATCGATATAAAACTAACAAGTAAATAGGGAAATTAGGCCATATAAACACAAAAAACATAAATTCACTAACTAACCAAAATCATTTCTTCTTTCCTAGTTTCTCTTCCTATCTCTTTCTAACTTCTCCCTACAAAACTAATTTCCTTTTTCCAAGTAAATATTTTAACAGACTTTTACCAAAAAAAAAAAATTCTTACAGATGTTGGAAAAGTGTGTTACAAGATACCGTTTAAAATGGAATAATAGTTTTGGAAAACAAAAACATAAATTGTATTCTCTTGTTGTCTTCTTGTTTCACATTTGTTCTTAGCTTTTACCACTGTTGCAAGCAGCAAAGAAAAGAGCTCCGGCACCAGATCCACCGTGAGAATGTTCGATGACAACATGGTCCGATAACTCGTCCCCGAGCATTTCCCAAACACTGCTATGGAGATAGTTTCTAAAGATCCTGTAATGATCATACAGCCCTCCTTCAACTATCACAATGCTCATCTTTTTCTCTAACCTTCCCAGCTTCTTTACCATCCCAACTATCCCTGCTCCTGCCACACGCGCCGCTCTTTCCGCCACTACATCGCACACTTCAACCACCACTTCTCTCGCCGCAAGTGTTGAATCCATGATCTGCATGTTATACATACATATGCAACGTCACAAAAACAAATATTAACACATGTTTGTGTTTGTATTGAGATTATGTAGATATTAGTGTGCCATAAAACTATTATGATGCATTCAAATTTAAACGTAAATGCACACACAAAAAGGAAAAAGAATATCATAAATATTAAGTTGAAAATACAAATACTTACCCCAAAAACTTCCTTGAGCTTTCTGTTTACAATCTCTCGGTCTTCAGATATATCTTGATGCATGGCAGCCATATCTGGCGAACTGGACATGTAGGAAAAATTATGGTATTGTCCTTGCATTGTAATAATCTATACTTTCGTATTAGTCTCAGAAATTTAATTACATGTACCTTAAAGTGTAAGGTTTTGTCAATTTTGGAGGTAGTATATCTCCAAATAAAGCAGATTCTTGTGACATTTTTAGTAACACTCTTCTCACTATCTCCCCTAAGTACCCTCCAGACACCATCTTCTCAAATACCTTGAAACATAGTAACCAAGATTCTCAAAAACACAAAGCATGAATCCTACAAGATAACTAATCATTTTGTGTCTTTTGAGCATCGCCAATATGTTACTCCATTTTGAATTCAAAATGAAATAACTCTAAAGGATAGTTAAGTTTTACTTCAAATCTATTTTATTTTCGATTTAAGATAGAGTGATCCAACAAAAAAAATAAGAAATAGTTATATTTGTGGAATAAATTTTTACTCTTTGAGAGTTACAAATAGAATAGAGTTGAATTAGATTCTACGGCAAAATGAGATTTAGAGCGACAAATGGAGTAGGGTTCAAGATTATCTTACACGGCTTCCAGGATTCAAGCTTTCCGCATCAAGAGCAGTATCAAATTCAGTTACAGGAAGGTGACAGGATCTGAAATCTCCCCACTCTGTGCTGATAACCTATACAATCGTATCATATTTACAATCACTTCATGATAACTTTGAAACTCTGATTGTTTAAATCAATGTGGTGAAACTAACTTAACATACAATCTCTTGTGGCTCGTAAGGCGTTGTGGGTTTCCACCTCAAAACCTCTTGAGCTTGTTCGATGTAAACAGAGTTGGTTCCCATACCTAAAGTGACTGCAGCCACACTGTCCTTATGATAGTATCTTCCTCCAGCCAACACTCCTATTGTGTCATCCACCTGATCTCAAAACCGACATTCTCATCACATCATCAAAAGAAAGTCAAGATTAATCTTTAGACCCGCTTACCAACGACATGTTCATTCGAATCTTCAGACCATGTCTCTCCAATGATTCATTCATATCATTCACAAACTCCTTCAGAACCTTGTCATTATCATCATTTGCTAGACTCTTCCTTTGTATCGTCGAGATTGAACTACTAGGCCCAATGTCCTCGACATAGCGTGTCCACGTAAACCCTAGATTCTTGACTTCATCTGTTTCTTCACCAGGATTCATCCCAAGGAATTTAACTAGCTCCAAGGATATATAATCGCACAGCTCCTAAACCCAAAAATAAACTTCAGTTTCAAACAAACCTAACGTGTAACACAAGAAAGTATCTATAATCTATAGATATACCTTGAAAGAACCGTTCAAAACATCCTCATGGATTGAAATCTCTTGTTTATATACATCGGAAATTGGTTCTTCGTTACCTCCTAAAGTCCCACGTAAAAGTAGAAGTTCCTTGCCTCGCAAGTTAGCTCCATAATGCACCCCTTTCTCATCCCTACAATTAAAAAAACGCCGTTAATTACCGGTCATCTAATACTCTACCTAAGAGAGAGGATTCTGTTTTTTTTTTTAACCCTGAAGGGAGAGAACCGGCGAATGAAACGAGCATGTTGAGGGAACCACTACTCTCGGCAGTGGTGGAAGCGAGAGAGGAGATCATCTCGGCGACCAAGGCGTCCGCCACCGCCCACAGCTTCGAAACCGGCGTGGCGCATTCTCTAGCGAATTTTCTCAAAATCATGTGTGTGTGTTTCCGCCGCCTCTCTTTCCTCCGCATCCATTGACCAACTATTAGGGCCGCTGCAACCGCAGTGACTGCTGCCACCACCACCACCTCTTTCCTAGTCATGTTGTCTTTTGTTCCCCGATTAAAACAGTTACGATCTCACGAAGATAATATGCGTTCGCTTGTTGGCATGTTTTGCGTATCAAAGTTTGAATCATTCCAATTTTTTTTTCACGTTGTTTTAGTATAAACCGTAACATTCGGTTTAGTAGTTTTTGTTCTCGGTTTATCAATATGTGATTTTTATAGATAGATCATGGGACTAGAAAATTTGGTTCAATTTAGGTTTGCATAGTTCTGATGGAGTTGACATACTATATCTCTGCTTCGGCTTCGGTTACAATATCCGGCACCAGGGGGAGCCAGTATATTGAGAATAGGGTCCGCTGACCCCACCTATTTTCAAAGTTTATGTGTGTTTAAAATTAAAATTATTTTGTGATCCCATTAAAAAAATTAGATGATCACATAAAGGAAAAAAAAAACGTGAAACACAAACATAACTAAAACACTAATCATCATTTTGGGGCTCAGTTTCAGACTAAATATTATTTTTTGATTCAATTTTAGCTTAGTCCCTTTAATTAAATAAAAGAATAATTCATTTATGAATTTTCATTAGTTATTATTAATTGACGTTAGGTTTCTTTTTGCCAATACAATCTTGTTTTCATATTTTATGGTTTACTAAAACTAATTAAAGCTTTCGTTAGATGTTTTCTAATATACCTTAATTCCTACGAATCATATATTAAAGCACAAAAAATAATGTAAATTCAAAGATATTTTTTTCTTTTATATTTATAGTTTAATTTTTAATTTAAATTTTATTAGATAATGCCTTAATTTCTAAATATTTTTAAAATTTATTATTGAATTAAATAAATTTAAACTATAATAAAATTGATTTTAAAATATCTAAATATCAATATTTTATATTATATATTTAAAAAACAGATTCTGGTAGAAATATTTTTTGGCTCGACCACTCTCCGACACTCTGGTTTGCCGAGAAAACTAATTTGATTCAAGTAAAAAGTTAATATTACTCCCGTAAGAAAAACAGCATCTAAAAATGTAATCAATCAAGTGATACGTGATATATAATCCTAGCCTACTGGCTACTGATCTAACTGACTTAATCAATCATCACTATTTTTTTTATAATAATCATCAAATTACACAACTCATGAAGTATACAACCAATGGAAGTCTTATAAACTTAATAACATCCTCAATTGGTCGCGATTGTCCATCTGAAACAAATTTAATTTATCACTTTTTATAATTTTTTTAATCATTTTAAAACGTTCATTTTGAATAATTGTAAAACGGAGAGAATTCGAAGCTCTACTGAATCGGGAATACATTATTTTTAAAGAAAGAATCTGAATATATCGTTATTACTTAAAGCAAAACGTCCATTTTTTATTCGGGTGGTATGATTTTGACCCAGCACGTTAATGTATGGTTTCACATTATTAGTAGCTTGTTTTTTTAATTAACCAACATTATAGTATCTTGTTATAGGAGCAAAGTGATCCATTTCACATTTATAATTTTAGGAATTCCTACGTTTCGTTCCGTTTTCAATATATTCCGGAGGTACTTTTCCATTTTTCAACGTAATACGTAGTTTTGTTTTTTCACTTTTTTTTATGAAACTATTCTTTTTTTGTAACTAATATTTCGTAGTTTTGTTATTATTTTAATAATTTAATGTGATTGGCTACTACGTGACTATCTATAGAGCGAGTTGTCATAACATGTGGATGATATATATAGTATGTATGATTAAGTATTTGTAGTATTCTATTATTAGTGATTAATTAGGTTCTTACTAAAAATGTTCTGCATTTGAAAGCAACTAGAGTCCCATGAAACACGTGATTCTTTGTTACCACTACTTGTTCATACTGTTTATTAATTTATACTCCGGTATACACTAACTGCAGTTTTTTTTCTAGTTTGTGCCACTGAAAATAATGATAGATAAGTGAAAATTTTGAAGTTATTGAGCATGACGCCAACAGATTAAATCCATTACAAATTATATGGTATCCAAAAATCTGTAAGACGTTATTGACCGAACCAAAAATCCATAGGCATACGTAATATAATTATATTATCCGTTTATGTCACATACTCATCGCTTAAAACTTTATGATAAGAAATACTATCGTTTTTCGGGGACAAGGTTCATAATCTTCCAAACTCGGTTTCGATAGACATTCATACTATTGGAATAAGGTCTATGACATAAAATATGCCTCCCACAGTGAATCAAACTTATGAGCGCAATAACACCAACGTCTGCGCTTAAACCGATTAGACTACCACATCCGTGGTAAAATACTATCGTTTTTCTCTATCTAATTGCATGTGTATTTGATAACCACTTCTACAACAACCATTATTTTCTCTTGCTTGTCTTAGATTGAGAAGAATAAGCACTAAATCATATGTGTATGCGTGTCTATATTCATAAAGTGATGTAATGGTTACGGTTTGGTACTGCGATCTGGACACGATACGCCATACATACAACAATCAAGATAAATCTCCACGTTGCGTCATGTTCTTGCTCAATTCTATTTGATCATTATATAAATAATATATTATTGTTTGTCAAAGATATAATTATAAAACTTAAATTCTTAATTAAGTATTGGTACGTAAGAGTGCTTCGTCATTGAGTTTTTCCTTCCCGCTGAACGTATATAACCTAACGTTTGCCTGTGACCTTTTTTTTGTGTGTTAGTATATCCAAATTAAAACTTTACAAGTAAACAAAACTGGCTACGTATTAGCGTTGAGTTAATTGGACCCAACAAAAACATATCCGAACTTCGGTCGGTACATATATTATATAGTTTCACATTTATCCGACATCATTGAGCCCGTAAACAAGACTATATATACTAAATTAGTAATATCTCACATTTTAGATTCAACTTTAATATGTAATTTGGTAACCCGGCTCTTAAGGAATGTGCCCCTTACTATAGAGAAAGAGTTGTCACAAATGAGAGCTGTGATATGTTTTTATATTAAAAGGCATAGTGAGAGAGTTGTCACAAATAAGAGAGTTATGATATGTTTTAATATCAAAGGCAGTGAGAGGTTGTCACAGACGACGGAATAAAAAAAAAATAGGTGAGTTGTCACGTTTGGGTTTTGACAGAAACCCAGATTCCACGAAGCATGTGAAGGATAGGGTCAAAAACTTCAATATTTAGAATTGCAATTTACGAAGAGTCATATGAAAGTCTTCAAAGAACATAGTTTCCCACCAACGAAAGTTATTACGTCTTTCAGTCTTGTGAAAACATTTTTTTTGACAAAGTTCTTGTGAAAACTTTAATTTGTAGTAGGTTTTATAGATCGGGTCTTTTTATTTACAAATCTTCTTTTTTAGTTCTTTTGTTTTGTCTACCACCCAGTTTTTACTTTTTTTTTGGGGTTAATAGTAGATGTTTTACGGTTTTAATAATCTGAGTTGAACATCCTTTAAATAACGACTTGAAAATAATTTTTACTAAAATGATTTGAACCCCAAACACAAAACGGATCCCTTTTCTCTATTAAATAATCTACTAACAATTTGATCACAATCAAGAGTTTTTGACTTAGCTAGTGGTAATAGAATTCCAGCTGGAATGTTTGTTTTGGGTTCGAATCGTTTTGGCCACCTTCCTATCTAAAATCATGCGTGTCCGGATGGAAGGTATCGTGGAAATTAGTTTGAGCTCACCGCATGGGACCCCTTACGATAATCAAGAAAAAAAAAACAATTTGATCACCAAGTTTCTACTTGCAGGTCTGAAATATTATAAATAATATTACAAACATAAGCTTAATAATTTATATAGAATAAGCAAGTATTCGGGCACCATAAGTTTGATAATTTTACTTTCATTTCAATTTATGTCTAGTGGGTGATGAATTCGACATAGTGTTTGCTCCATGATTTGTGGTTTTCGTTTGTGTTCTTTGTGAATCACTTTCTTTAATGTCTGATTTCTTCCTTTTTCTTTTCTTGTGGGGTTTGGATTCCGATAATTATCTCTTTTTTTTTTTACTTTTGTATTGTCTCTTTTTTAATAGAAGGAAAGCGATAGAGAGATTTTCCAAAAGTCGATACTTGATAGGTGCGTCTCTATCCATAAAATATGAACAAACATATCTTGTTATTATCTTTTACCCCCCCCCCCCCCCAAAAAAAAAAACATATCTTATTATCTTGCCGCGTTATTCTGTTCTCTCTAATATGTTTGAGATATAGCTGATACATCACAAACTTCTTGTCCCACAGAATTAGTAGTATACTATACATAGACTTAAAAAGACAGAATGATACAAAAGAGGAAAGTTACAAAAAAAAAATGATACAAAAGAGGAAACATATACAGCATGAAATATAGATGTCGAGAAATAAAAATAAATTAACATTCACACTCAATTAGACAAGTGAAAGTGATTTATATCTTTATAAATTCAGACAACAATATTGGTAATTGTACTATTTTATATCGATACGTGTGAGAGGTGTGATTCTTCAACTATTCCAATAACCTTGTAATAGCATGTGTAAATGGATTGGTTGAATATGATTCCAAAAAGAAAACTTGTAATAGCATGTGTAAATGGATTGGTTGAATATGATTCCAAAAAGAAAACTAGAAATTTTTTTTGGAAATTAAGACTTTTATTTTAAAAATATAGATAAATTAAAGTAAAAACTTTAAAATTTTAGAGATATTACTACATTAGAGTTTATAATTTTTTTTAAAATATCAAACATAGTTATTAATTTTTTTAATTACTTCATTAAATCGTTAAATATATAATTATATTTTCTGAACAGGGTTTAGAAATAATTCCTCAAATAAACAAACATTTTCATGGCAAAAGCACTTATTTGACTCTTCAATATATACAACAAATCTCCCAAATAAATCGACGTGTAGCATACAATTTGAAACAATCACACGAACTTCGATAAACCAGTCCTCAAACTCTTTACAACATCCATGAGTGTTATGTTGAAATCACTCTCCTTCTGGAAAGAGACAAATACATTAATTAAAATGTGTTCTTTAAGATCAAAAACAAATTCCTCGTTTATATATTTGTGTGTCCGACAATATGCATACCTTAGCTATGATGGTGATATCAAGTGTCGGTCCAAAGGGAAAAACACTTGAGTTAGTTATTGAGAAAGGAAATTTCTCAACCTCGGCCATTATTTTGGCAATATGACCCTTTTGCTTCTCGCAAAGGATCTTGATTAGAACATCTTTATCTGAGAATTTTACTTCGATCTCGGGTAGGTCTAAGCTCGAGGAGTCATCTTCACAACATGAAGAAGAAGATGATTGATTCTTATCGTCCAAAATCAGCTTAGATTTCTTCACAAGAACCATTGATTCTAATCTTCTTTCTCTCTTTTGTTCTTCAAACTCTCTCACTTTTTGTTGGAGATACTTTATATGCTTTTGTGCATCTCCCAACACAGAAGCCTTGTCCATCTATACACTTAAGTTCAAAAGATTAACCAAAAACGTTTTAATTTGGAGATAAACCACGAAGGGAAATTTGATGTAGTAAGTACCTTTTTCAGGCCAGGAACTAGAGCAGAAAGAGCTACAAATCTTTGAGTAAGTTTCTCTCTTCGTTTTCTTTCTGCGATTATGTGATCTTGAGCATTGGATTGGCTTCTATACAAAGATTGAGCCCTCTTCGTCCCTTTATCACTCATCCAGTTTGGTGGCACTTCAGCCTCATCTTTGGGGGTAACGATTGAGTTTAGATAGGTGGAAGAGTGCTCATGATCCGTCACATTTTGAGCAGCATTCTGGAAAGAGAGAATTCTTGAGGAAGGCTGATGATGAAAATGAGGCTTTGAATTAGGAGGAAAATGAAAAGAGGGTGGTGGTTGCAATTTTGGTGATATGTAAGTTGTCTCGAGGATCTTTGATGGTTTCATTTCGATCAAATCATCACAAGAAGGATCATTTGTGGTGGTCATAAGAGTTGAGAAAGAGTATGGAGGCGTGTGGTGAGGTTCATGGATCTCTCCCATTATTGTGTTCATGCCATATTGTTGAATGATGCTACTTTCTTCTAATTCCTATATCAGTACAACAACAACAAAATTTGTCCAAAAAAAAGTACAACAAAAAAAAATTATGATTATTTGATTTTGATAGATGGAGACATATTATATAGATATCATGCACGTTTGTGTGTGTATGTATTACCTGCTCAGAAAACAATCTTGTGGAGAACATATTCATCTTCTTATCTGTAAATCGAAATCTGAAAATGGTCCAATTAAGAAATAAGAACTTGTATTAGCCAAAAAAATGTATGCACACTATTAGATCTTGAGTATTCATACACATGATATGATTTAAAAACCAAGATCACGAAACATTTAGAAGTTTGGAGTATGTTGAATTGTCACCTTTTTTCTTGGAAGCAGAGAGAAAGAGGTATTGGGGCAATGTGGTTTGTGTGTGAAGTCGTATATACGCAATTACGTATATATACATACGGAATATTAATTTCCATATATAAAATTTAGTTGCAACACTAATAATATTCCGTTTTCTCCAATTTTCTTGGGTTTGATAACATGTTAACCAGATATATATATACCGACCATTATTAATATAGCTATATATAAAGCCGCCCTAGAAGTTTTCATGCCATACAGCCATAGGCAAAATAAGAATAAATATTTTTACCTTGTACTATTTTTTCCTGCAATGAATTAATACAAAATTTTTTTTTTACAAACTAAAATGTTGAAATATTACAAAAAATCGTTATCGCGGCTCACATAAACTCGCAATAATTTATTAAATATTGATTTCTGATCTAAATTATCATTGAGTGTGGTTTGATCTTAATATCTACGAATATAAACTATTAGAATGTTATTGTTTGTAAATATTAGTTATCAAGAGAGACAGAGCATGTGCACAGATTCATGAGCTCTTTCATGTGTCTATTGCAAACGTGCTATTCTGATGAAGATAGTAAAAAACTAAAGACCAAAAAAGAAGTTGCATATATCATCACATCACTTTGGTAAAAGGTCTCAAGATTATGTTATTTCTATATAAAATAGAGATAATTGGCTAAAGTGCCCTATTTGGCACCTATAATTAGAGAATTGCCCATGATGTGACAAGCACTTTCCTTTGGACCATTTTGTCTTTTTCTACACTCTCTCTCCTCTCTTTGACATCTCTTTTTTTTCTCTCTTCAATCCCTAATTATTTTACAAATCTCTATCATTCTATATACAATTAAATTTTAAATTTCATTATTTTTTCATAAGTGGCTTTGAATCCTCAATTTTGACTTTTTTTTTCTCTCCAATCCCTAATTATTTTACAAATCTCTATCATTCTATATACAATTAAATTTTAAATTTCATTATTTTTTTCATAAGTGGCTTTGAATCCTCAATCTTTTGATGATATCAATTTTCTGGGTTTTAGATTCGATGTCGTATTAGCGGTTAACAAATATTGTAGACGTTAACAGAAGTGTTAGGTGTTAACAATTATTTTTACGCTTCGCGTTAATAAATGTGTTCGCTGTTAACAAATATTGTAGACGTTAACAGAAGTGTTAACTGTTAACAATTATTTTTACGCTTCGCGATAATAAATGTGTTGGCTGTTAACAAATATTGTAGACGTTAAGAGAAGTTATATGTTAACAAATGTTTTTACGCTTCGTGTTAATGAGAGGAAAGAGAAAGGGCATTCTCGGCATTTCCTTGCCAAATGGTTGTGTCAGTATCCTTCATATCCAATCAATGGTATTTTACTAATTTGAGCTTCAAATATGGGTAGTTCACTAAATCACTATACATCGAAAGTGTTGAATTTCTAGAAATGGTAAGCTAGGCAAACAAAAAAACACGTGGGCTATTAATTATATATTAGTCTAAAATTATAAAAAAATGCTATAGGCTAATCCCTCTGGCTCTTTGACTCATCCATTACTCAGCTCCATGGTAAGAAAGCATCTTGGCTCCTGCAAAATAAAATAAAAAAATTGCATTTGCTAATTTACATAATATTCCTTTTCAAATGCTCCGAGTACATGTCCATAATTAGGGTATATGTTTTTAGAATGCTACTGTATTATTTCTTTTAAGAGTAAAATTTAGTTTGAACCTATTCTATTTTAATAAGATAAAAATAAAAATATTTTAAATACAAAGTAATTATATTTATTATTTTGTTTTAAAGTGAAAATGGATTAAATTAGGTCTACGTGAACTGAAGTACTGGCACTTGTCCATTAAATTTCAAGTCTTATATTTACCCAAACTTTAAGTTTCCTTTAACTAAATTCATATTCTGGTCTTGTTTTTATATGTAGGAAGGATTTTGCCCCTATAAAGTATATTTTACATTTTCCTGTGTACATCAGAGATGCTCAAAAATCTCATTTTCTTCTCGAGATCTATATATGAACTATTTTTGATAATCAAATATTTGTCTGCGATTGGTATTATTGGTTACCTTTAACAAAAAGGTATTATTGGTTGACGTTGGCGCATAATTATTTTTGAAGTCAAACCCTAAAATGGAAACGAAAAAGAACAAAAGTAAATAGACCAAATGGGGTATATATGGCAATAGTTAAACAGGGAACTCTTTATTATATAATCTTTGACAGAACCCTTATAGTGAGACTAGTCTTCCTAATTATTATTCATCCTAATCCCCACTTTTTCTTTTCACCTAACAAAGTTGTTGACGAACCAAAAAAAGTCTTCAGAACACATTTTCAGACTTAAACCAACCTTAATGGTGCCTTATACTATACTTATTCATAAATTTGATGCATAAGACAGAGAAACGAAAAACTAAGCGTATCATTTAAGAATAGATGAACAAGAACCTGCTGTGACTTGAACATGGAATTACCAGAAGAAATTTATTCATGTGATCAGGTCTTCTAACGATTCCAAAGAGTAGCAATTCAAAGACAAAACACTTGCAACAAGATCCTAAGACTGAGCTCCAAGTGACATTGAATAGGCTTGTATGCACATTGGTTCTGTTACTTAAGTCCAAGCTCCATTGTAGTGATCAATCAAAGCACATATCAAGAAACTTGTTGGAAGTTTAGTCCAGCTCAATTAAATTGCGTGAAACCTCTTCAGAAGGTTATGCTTAGATTGGATTTGAATCATTTAGATATACTTGCTGCTTATGTTTATTGAATCTTTATCTCTCAGGCACTATTTTCACCGATTGAATATCTTGTAATATGGAGCTAAAAAGCATTAAGGACGCGTTTGATCGTGTTGAAGTATATGAACGTGATGATGGCGAGCAAGAAGGTTGATTGGGAGAGTATGGAGCAGCAGCAGTTTCCTGTAGCTGTGGGATTGTCTGAAGAGTTTCAGTTTCATTCGGTGTTTGTTTGTCCTGTCTCTAAGGAACAGGCGAGTGAAAGAATCCTCCTCCGATGATGTCTTGTGGACACGTGCTGTGTAAGCAGACTGTTAACAAGATGTCGAAGAATGGTGCTAAGTCTTCTTTCAAGTGTCCTTTATTGTCCTACGGATGTGGATATCTCGAGGTGTAGGCAGTTGCATTTTTGAAACGTGTTTGTGTTTGGTTTGTTCAACTTTCTAAATATAGAAATTCTTTACATTTCCGTAATTAGTACTTCTTTCCAGTTGCACAAAGATAAAAGTTTTAGAAAAAAAAAAGTTTTGTAAAAATAGGATTTTTATGTTTTCTTTGAATTTTCTATTATTTAATCCTAGTAAATTATAACTTTTTAAAAAACTTGATGAGAAATTGACTCAAAATTGAGTATATTAAGCTACTATTAGTTTAACCTTGTCGAAAATTGATATTTCTAAAAAATGCTGCATTTATGATATAATTTTTTTTTTGTTTAATAGTATGTGCAACAATTCAAAAATATTATATTTGCAAAACAGAGCGATTATTATATTATAATGTTACATAAATATTAAATACACTAAAACATCTCTCATTTTAGGTTTATATATTATAGCTTTATTCCACTCTATTAATATTACATTGAAGTAACTTTAGTATTATAGTTCTTAATTTGAGTAATCAAGCTGTAACAGCGTCGTTTAGAGCTTCTGTTGCTGCTAATGGAACATCTTCATTAGCATTACTCTTGATCATATTACCACATCCTCCACTGCAGTTACCGCAGGAACCGCCACCGCAGGAGCCACCACCGCAGCCACTGATCTTAGTCATCCCACCACAGCTTCCACCGCATCCACCACACCCACTAGGACCACAATGACCACCTTGTTCTTCAGTCATGTTCCCACTTTTTATACCACAGCTAGAGTTTAGCTCCTTAGAGTAGCACTTAGCACCGGCATTGATCTTCTCGGCCTCTACCAGAACTGGAGTAGTCATGTCCACATTCATCATTGTCTCTTCTTCTAGCTTCACTTGATGAGTCAAAGCTTCAGTCTCCTCTTTGATTCCATTACCTTTCACTGTCTCCTTTGCCGCTGCAAAAGAGCCTTCCTTCTTGAGAAGATCACTTAGTATGAAAGCAGATACTATTCCAAGCAAAACAAACCATCTCTCACTTGCCTGCATGCATATAAAAAAATATATAAACCTTAAAAAAAATCGGTCTAGGCGCCCGTCTAATCATCAAATCGAACTTAATGAAACAATTTTAAAAGAAATTAGTTTAGGCATTCAAAAAATCGGTTTAAAACACTCTCTAGTCAGTAATATTCTACAAAATGCCTAACTACCGCCTAGTGATTTTTTGAACATTGCTCACAAGTAAACAAAACATTAAGTTTTGAGTGTGGAAGACTCAAACTTTACCTCAGTAGAACCAGTTTTCAAGTCTAGTAACCCTACAGCTTTACCATAAGGATGTTCCTTTGAGAACTCAACAGCAGTCATGAAATCTTTCTCACTCCTTAGCTTTGCACAATGTTTTGGCTCATACTCCAGCTTTCTTCCTGAGTAAACCTTCACCATTCTCTCACCCAAAATCTCAAACAAAGAACCATCTCTCTCATGACTCCTTGTCTGCTTAAGTGACCATTTAGAGTCAAGCAAAGACCAATAACTCCCATCATACTCTGCCAGAACATAACTCTCACCACCACTCCCTTTCACACCAACCACTTGTCTTCTATCACCTCTTGGTGCTGCGTCATTAGAGTTTCTCATCTGAAGACTGATCACCTCTTTCTCGGTGTCATCAACAACACGTGTAAACATCTTAGCAAGACGTGCCTTTCCGACAAGAGGGAAGAAACAAGAGTCTTTCAATGAAGGTCTTGTCTGAACCATATGTAGAACAGTCGGGCTTGGAGTTGGTGGAGTGAATGAAACAGCAACTCGCAACGAGATTGGGTCCTTTCCTCTTTGAGCTGGTGTTGTTAACTCCAACCACTTCTCAACAGAGAGTGTAGTAACTGGAAACAGAAACTCACACAAAGATAAAGAAGCAAACCCTAAGGTTTTAGACTTAGATGACATAAGTTTGAAACTAATCTCTCCTCTCGGCTCACACTTAAACATAGCAACTTGCTTCTCCCCACAAGACTCAGACAAAACCGTAAGCTTACGCTCAGCGTTGAACACAGAATCAGGTTGTGTTTTACTAAACACAACAAACACCTTTCCTTTATAACCCTCTGGTAAGTTCTTAACACCAACAATCTCCAACATAACCTCAATAACTTCCACCTCTGGAGATTGTATTACATTTACATCCTCTTTATCAGTTAACTTCTTCCCCAAGAAACCATAAGGAGAAGTTGTAACAGCCTTTGGAGTATTACCTCTGTTCATAACACCAGCTTTCCAATACCTTACACCAAACGTCTCTTCCCACATAGCAGTAGTTCCAGAGAAACCAGTGTCAAGCTTCTTACCTTTGCTACGGTCAGAGTCTGTGTCATCATGCTCCAAGACCTTACCAATCGTCTTAGTCAAGTCTTTACAGTAAGAGAGAGCGTGAAGCTGGTGTGTGTGCCAGATAAGATCAATATCATAAGTCGGTACACAAAAAAGCTTAATGGACTTCTCTCTGTTTCTCTTGATCAAGTAGAGAAACGCTTTGTATCTTGCCACAGCTTCTTGGAGAAAGACTTCATTGTCTATATGAGGTCTTGAGACTTGGTAGTAAAATGGAGATTGTCTCTTGACAACTGAAACAAGATCATAGGTAGTGGTTTGTTCCTCTGTTTTTGTCATTGCCTTGTCTAAATCAAGGTCATAAGGCTCTGTAGGGTACAGTCTCCTCCATAGTTTTTCAGTTTGTGACTTGCAGCTTCCGTTTACTGAAGATAAAACGTTAGAGTTGTCAAGGACTTTCCCATAGAGTTCCTCACAATCAGTCTTGTACCTCACCTGAAATGGTTAACAAACAGAGGGTTTAGCCTGTATAGGTATTGAATCAAGAAGTGAGATGTGGATTTCAAGATTTACCGGATTGAGTCTGTGGCAATGCCAAACCCATTCACAGTCAAGAGGAGGGACTAATGGTCCTTCACAGATGGAAGAGGACTCAGTGTACTTAGCAAGCAAAGGAAGCCAGTAAACATTGTATCTGAATAACAACAATAACAAATATCATCAAACAAGAACCCTAACTTGGACTCCAAGTTTTAAACTAGCGCTAGGCTCTTAATATGATGCAAAGAAAGAAAGATTTTACCTGTAGATGGCTCTTTCAAGGGCAGGACCAGCGTAGAGACAACGGTTTCGGTCAACAGCTGCAAGGAACTGCAGCTGTTGTTTGGCAGCAGCAAAGAGATCAACGCTTATCTCTATCTTTTGCGCTTCGAGCCATTCCTGTTTTTGATTCATTTCCTCGTCCATCTCTTACCGTTACAACTCAAAGTCTAAGTGATATTGTTTTAGTCTTGTTATCGTGCAAGAACACGCTTTTTGAAAGAATAGTATGCACTTTGAGTTTGACAGAGAAGTCTTCAAAAGGCATCTATATATATACACGCGGTTTCTTACCTTCTATACGTAATCACAAAAGAGATGTCATTATCTCTTTGTAAATTACTAATTATCTTACGAATGTCAACTATTAGATTGTCACACTGTTAAAGTATATGTTAGGTTTATATTTTTTTGTCAACGTTTGAATTTTTTTTTGTCTTTTGTTAAAGCCACAAAAAGTTATTGGCATTAGGATATGATTTATTCTGCACAGAAATTTTGGTTAAAATGAAGTTTTACATTTACCACTTCAGTAAAATATTGATTATCAAAATAAGAAAAATAATCGATGGTGGAAAATTACATGAGAAGATCACATAATCGGCCTTGGAGGAACAGAAAGCATGTCCATGATTTTGGTGACAATCTAGTTTATGAGTTTCCAGAAGTAACTGAATTTGAGCCTTAATAAACCTTCAACGCCTACACCATGACCAAGTCTTCTTTTTACTTTGAACTTCTCTTTAAGAAAAAACAATAATGAGAATTTTAATTCCATTGGACATATTCAGAAATCCACACATTTTCCTAGAAATTACTACAAAGCAGTTTTTTTTTGTTTTAACATAAAAAAAAAACAATTAAACTGTATAATATATTTTCAGTTCTTCATCCAATGACATTCTTTTTTGTTCAACCATCAAACAAGTTTAGTAGTAGAAGACTAGTGGTAACCTTAGCGAATCCTGTTAACAGGTTAAGATGATAACCGTAGATTTCAGGCAAAAACCAAACAAACAATCCAAAAACTACATCTGAGTATCAAAGATCTCAAGAATCACCTCAACAAAGAAGGTTTTACCATACAAAAAGACTTTTAATCAAATTTGTGAAGGAGGATAAATAATGCATGTCAATTTATTTGGAAACAAAACCGAATTCGGTATAAACCGGTTTAGCGACCTCACTTCTTTGAACCACTGGCCTCTTCAAACTCAGCTTCAGGGGTCTGCTGATCAGTCCCGCTTGAACCTTCACCACCAGAGGTCCCAGACGAACCTGATCCCTTGGACATGTGTTCACCGATCTTCGACACTGCCTTGTTGGCAGCTTCAAGCTTAGCCTTGATGTCTTCAATATCTTCACCAGCCATTGCTGTCCTGAGATCAGACACTGCAGTCTCAATCTCAGAGGCAATCTCAGCTGGGATCTTCTCTCTGTACTCACTCAAGCTCTTCTCAACGCTGTAGATTGTGGTATCAGCTGTGTTCCTAAGGTCAATAAGCTGCTTCTTCTCTTGGTCCTTGTGTGAGTTGAGCTCAGCTTCTTTCACCATTCTGTTGATCTCATCGTCTGAGAGACCACCTGAGGATCTGATTGTGATCTGTTGCTCTTTTCCTGTTGCTTTGTCTTTGGCTGAGACTGTCACGATACCGTTTGCGTCAATGTCGAATGTGACTTCGATCTGTGGCATTCCTCTTGGTGCAGGTGGGATTCCAACGAGATCAAACTCTCCTAGACTCTTGTTGTCTGCAGCCATCTCACGCTCTCCTTGAAGAACTTTGATTCCCACTTGCATCTGGTTGTCTGCAGCTGTGGAGAAAACCTAAAACACCAAACCACAATTAGCAAATTAATAAATTCAACACACATTCTAAAACTGTTTTATCTTACCTGAGACTTCTTTGTAGGGATGGTGGTGTTTCGGTTGATCAACCTAGTGAAGATTCCTCCAAGTGTTTCAATACCTAGCGAGAGAGGAGTCACATCCAAAAGAAGCAACTCTTTGACATCACCACGGAGGATACCACCTTGAATAGCAGCTCCCATAGCAACCGCTTCATCAGGGTTCACACCTTTGCAGGGGCTCTTTCCAAAGATCTCAGCGACAATCTCCTGCACTTTGGGAACACGTGTCATTCCACCAACAAGGAGAACCTCATCTACTTCCTTAACCGTGACTCCAGCATCCTTCAGACAGTTTTGGCAGGGGCATCTTGTTCTCTCAATCAACTTGCCGACCAAAGCTTCAAACTTGGACCTAGTTAAGGTAATGTTCAAATGCTTAGCTCCGGAAGCATCTGCGGTGATGAAAGGAAGGTTGATCTCGGTCTGAGATGTTGAAGAAAGCTCGATCTTGGCCTTCTCTGCAGCTTCTCTCAGCCTCTGGAGAGCAAGCTTGTCCTTGGTCAGATCAATGTTGTCTGATCTCTTGAACTCAGAAACCAAATACTCCAATAATGTGTTGTCGAAGTCTTCTCCTCCCAAAAAGGTATCTCCATTCGTTGCTTTGACCTAAATAAGACAAAACCAGTCATATAATATAACCAGACAAACGAAGGACAATAGCAGAATACAAAACAAAAAAATGACATTACCTCAAAAACACCACTTGAGATTTCAAGAATAGAAACATCAAAGGTTCCACCACCAAGATCAAACACAGCTATAACCCCCTCCTTATTATTCATCCCATACGACAAGGCAGCAGCCGTTGGCTCATTGATGATCCTCTGTACATCAAGACCAGCAATCTTCCCAGCATCCTTCGTAGCCTGTCTCTGCGCATCATTAAAGTAAGCGGGGACAGTAACAACAGCCTTGGTAATACTCTTCCCAAGGTAAGCTTCAGCAGTCTCCTTCATCTTGGTGAGCACATTAGCACCAATCTGACTAGGAGAAAACTTCTGACCATTCGCTTCAACCCAGGCATCACCATTTGGCGCCTTGACAATCTTGTAAGGAACCATTTTCATCTCCTTCTGCGTTTGGGAATCCTCAAAACGTCTCCCAATCAAACGCTTGCTCCCGAAGATGGTGTTGGTTGGGTTAGTAACAGCCTGACGTTTCGCTGGTGTTCCAACGAGAAGCTCTCCCTTTTGGTTGATTGCAACGACTGATGGTGTTGTTCTTGTTCCTTCTGCGTTCTCAATGACTCTAGGAGTCTAGATAAAGAGCATCAAAGTCAATACCTTTACTTTTATTCAAAGGCAGAGAGATCAAAAGTTAATACCTTTCCTTCCATAACAGCAACACAAGAGTTGGTTGTACCCAAATCAATACCAATAACATCATTCCCCACAGGCCTTGAGCTGAATTTACAAAAACAATACAAAATGATAAGTAAAAAAAACATTCAAAGGAAATACTTTTTTATACCACATGAAGTGAAAACTTGAAATTACAAATTACCAGAAAGGTCTTGCTAAGTGACCTAACTTCCCCATCAAAGTCGTCTTTCCATTTGTAGAAACCTGCAGATTTCAATACTAAAACTGTAAAGCTTTTACAACTCGTATCAGATCTCTTCACAGAAGATCCCAAAACAACTAAGAGTACGATCGATTCAACCCATGGGATAATTCAAAAACCCTAATTCATTTCCGATTTACAGATCTGGAAAACTCAAAAACGTGATTTCTCAAGCAAAAGAAGTTAAGAAACATACGGATCTGAAGGCAGAGACGGAAGCCGTGTGGAGTTCGCGGCGGCGGAGAGCACGTAGAAGAGCGACGGAGGCCATTTTTTGGGTTGGAGAGAGAGAGAGAGTCGGTGGAGAAAGTAGGGTTTAAGGTCGGAGATGGGGGGCATACAGTGTGTAGGGTTTAACAATTTATAGGAAAATCCCCGTGGGCTACAAGTCATTTTGACTTTTCTCTAAGATATGGGCTTTTCGTGGGCTTATAGAATAGACCTCATAATCGATCGTGATTGTAGATATTGCTGTGGATGATGCAAAATTATTCTCTACCCTTGTTAATATATATATGCATTTGGGAACTCACTCGAGTTCAGGTTTTTTGGATTACTATTCAGATTTTATATATGTTCTGATCAAATTTAATTAATAATTGTTTTAGATTCTGACAGAATTTATAATTTGGTTTAGATCTAAATTTAATTAGGTTCGATTGATAATAATTATATCAAATAAATATATAGTTGAACGTTTAAACTATCTAGTTAGGTTTCCAAAAGTTAATAAATATTAAGTATTTTATACACACATGCAGACATTATTTTTTTACCAATACTTATTAGTTTATGTTTTATTAATTCAGAAACCCTATGATATTTTATTATAATATTTATGTTCTCAAAAATTTTAAATCAAACATTTAATTATTTATATATAATCTTATTATTAAAATTTAATTAGAAAAATTATATAGAAAAATATTGTTTAGAGATCACAACTCAATATATATAAGAATTAAACTTTTTAAAAATGTTTTATTTTGACAATTTTATCGTATTATTTTATAACCAATTAGCTAATATAACATATAAATCTAATATTATTAAAAAATCGTTATTAATTATATAATAGATTATATATGAAATTCATTAAGAATAACAACGATACTAACTGCTCTAATTTTTAATGTGAGACTTTAAATGCATACAACTTTAGCTCCAATCTTTCATTGGTGTACTTGAGAAACATGTTTGTCCTAAATCCCAATAAATAGGTTGTACTTTTTCGTTGCGAATTACCCATTCAACTTTTGTATGTCTTGTACTCTCCTTTGTTCTAAATATGTGTCATTTTGATATTTTGCATAAAAATTAAAAAAAAATTGTATAATAGACTAATATACCTCTATTTAATGTATGTTTAATTAAATGAAAATAATTTAAATAAAAATCTATTGTTTATTCAAAAGGATAAGAAATAAATTTAATGTATAAAATTACATTAGGATTGTAGAATGACACAAACTAAAGTAACACTTATTATGAAACATAGAGAGTATTTTTTTTGACACCTACATCTAAATTACATTTAGCAAAACCTTTAAGATGGTGTAACCAATAGTTCTTGAGATCTTGATTTGATGGTGTATGTCTACTTTTAATTCTATCGGAGGTTCTTTGGTCCAAGTTTTTAACTGCTTATAACCATCTCATATATGAACAATGGTATG